CATTCTTACTTTACAGCATTTTTTCACACCTGCCTAAAACTTTTGCACAGTACTGTAAATAAATAAATAATCCCTTGGAAAAATGCAGGGGAGAGAGTCAGACATTAGAATTTAATTCTACAGTAGAGGGATGTCAACCAAGCAGCCATGCAGACTGATTGGTTGAAGCGTGAGTAAAAACTACATCTACTTATTTGCTAGTCAAATGTTTAACAGTCTTCTGTACAGCAGCAGCTTTTAAACTTGAATACAAAGTAACATTAAAAACAAAACAAAACTGAATCTTACAGCATTTCCTCACTCTGTGTGAAGTATTGTTTTCCTAGATGGCAGATTCTAGCATTCCTTGTATGATAATATTCAAGTCTCAGTTACTTCACACTTTTAAAAACATATGATTAATGTCCCTGAATAAAGTTTTTTCCTTTCCAGAAATGTTTATATTCATATACAGACTGGGGGAAAGGATTGTGAGAATATTCCAGACATTGCCCTAGTTCATATCATGCTCATATATGCATTGGTTTGTTTTATTCTGGTTTAGCATGTTGGGAGAACCAGCTAATCATAGTTCACTCAAACTATGGTTAAACCATGACATAATATAATTTGCAAACCCAGTTACAAAGTTGAGATGCAAATGAGATAGGAATCATTTTAGAGTAGTAGACTATTCTTTATTGTCTGTCTTACTGGGACTTGGAGAATTTTTCTAGCCTGAAAGCTAACATTCACTTACACACACACACACTCATACACTTATATCTACTGTTTTGCTTGCACTTGTAACGTATACAGTGCTAATTCAGATTTTAGATCCTCCAAGTTTAAACCAAGTAACCCACCGAACAACTTTACAGAGGTTCTGCTGACTCTTTACTGATCTCTTACCTACATATATTCACAGGTAAGTGAAGAAAACTGTAAAAGCATTTGTCTGTTAGAGGAGTTAGATTCTGGAATAAGCCCTAATGATTCAAGTGGAACTTACTCGAATGGAAATGTGCGATTTGTAAATTACCAATTTACTAATTTTATTCAGAATCCAAACACAAATATTGTATTAATCCCTACCTCTCAATTTTAGAACAAGCCTTACTAAGACAGCTTACAATAAATAAATATAAAATTGTACATTTATATTATTACAATATATAATATAAAATTGTAATAAAAATACCAGATAAAACTGAATAGATATCCAGTAATATAAGTCAATAAAGAGCTTAACAGAATTTTTAAAAACCTAACTTCACTAAGGTTGATTTACCATTCCAGTTCTATTATTCAGAGATTACTGGTGGGAAGAGAGAAAGTAACGTGGTATAACTTTTGGGAAGCAGTGAGCAAAGACTGAATTGAACTGGCAAGAATCCATCACTGTTGCAACTACTTGAAGATGCTAACAGAAAATTGCAGTAGGCTTCTGTTGTTCTCTGGAGCCAGCCCAACAACAGTCCTCCGAGCAATCGTATCTGCCTGTGTTCCTCTTTTAGGCAGTGGCAGACACATTGATGCTTCCCACGGGTGTTCCTCTACTATGTTGACGTGTGCTGAGCCAACTCTCTGGAGCTATCACTGGAGAGAACATCTGTGTCCTTTTCACAGTTGAGAAATGAGCAATTTGACTTTAACATGTCAGAGACGTTTTTGGTGTGCAAATCATAATAGGATAGAGGAATGTTGGAGTCTGGCAGCCAATGATTTTTTTATTTTAAGACATTTCCTCTTAAAAGCTCAAATGGAATAGTTTTTACATCAGATTCAATGTTGCAGAGGGAGATTAGTTAAAAGGTGTCTAAATAAGCATATCCTTCAAAAATACAGAAGTGTAACTGGAACTTCTTTCCTAAACAATATTTTACTCTGCCCTTTACCCTTCAAATGGATCTTTCATATATTTTGTAAACAATGCTCTTTAGGAGAGTACAGTATCTGCAGGAAAATGGTTAAAAAGCTTTTAAGCAAAATGATCTTGCAATTAATGTACGCAGGCAAATGTTGAAATCATCATAACTTTAGCAGCACACATGCCTACCAAACAGACTGAAATCGTAGGAAAGGGCTTGTTTTGCCTGGATTCCTCACTTCTGAACAGAGAAAATTCTGATGGTTTCAAAGCAAGAATAAAAGCTGAAGAAAGAACTTTCAGCACGAATGTTCCAGGAAAAATACGGACAAGTCTTGAAACGTTTGTAACTGGAACCTTGTTACCGGGCTGTCAGTATACAAATTATAAATGCGGATTTAGCTCATAAACTGTTTACTCTGTTATCCTATCTGGCAAATAAAGCAGTGCTCACTTCTGCAAAACAGAACCTTAAGTCATCCAACTGAGATAATAAACAAATAAAAGTATAGCAGTAGGAGTGATCTGGTGGAAATTATACATTAGGATCTCCTAAAAGCCTCTGCTCCAAAAATCTCTTGAAGAAATGCAGGTCTAGTCTATGCAAAGAAAATAAAGTGCTTTTGGCCTGTGACAGCAATGAAATGTTTAATTTCAGACTGCAGGTGGACTTTTTAAAAATGCTCTTGTATAGTAGGACTACCGCCAGCAAAAGCAAATTGGAAAAGTTGGCAGGGGGAACACTGTAACCAGGATAGAAGCAATGTCAATCTCATGATTGGTTCACTAACTCACGCTGTATTTCCAAGATGAAAAAAAAATGGTTTACAATGAAATCTGAGTTTTTAAAATTAAGCTATTATTCTGTAAACTTCCAAAAATGTATTTACATGTTTGTATTTTGAATTATAAGGAAAATGTTTGGCATAATCAACAACCGAATAGCTTGTGGTCTAACAGTATAATCCCTAGATAGTGCATTATTTATAATTATTTGTTTGCAATATTCCTCAGCTAGTCATAAAGTAGTCCATTATTCTGAAAACTGCTAGAAATATCAGTCTGTGTCATGCTTTTATCAAAGAGTGCACAATACTGACTTTAATCAAGATGGGATATTGTCCTGTCATGGAAAAAGAGGCACATTTTGAGGCAGCAGGATACATTGATCTCCACATTCCGTTTCGCTATTATTGTCCTGAATTCAATGTTATACCACCTGATGCCCTTGCAAAACAGCCTGAGGAGGATCTATGGAACTCCAGTCAAGAACTGGCCCTTGGAAGGGGAGCAAGACCCGGAGGTGGGTTTTTTTTGAACAGAGATTGGCTCCACCGATAATAGCCTTCTGGAAGCTAGTTAAAACCAAGTTATTCTGGAGGCTTGGGGTATATTATGATGCCAGGGTTGTATTACACACTTTTAATTGCAATTTAAGTTTTAACTTTGATTGCTTTAATGTTGTATTTTATAATTGTTATGAGTCATGAGTAAGCCAAGAATCCCAAGATGCGATATATCAAACAAACAAACAAAGTTTATATATTGTTTTTCATGTTGTCCATCCAACTGTGATTGGACTAAAGAGCTTCATGGTTGGATAGATATGTAGCAGCAATAGAATGTCACCACTGAATGTATTAGATAGAATGAATTTGTCTCCCATTTGCATATAGCAAGATCAAGACAAATGGAGAGGGTACAATAGACATTATTTACCTTTAATGCAGTCATACTGCATATAACGGTGTTTTTAACTATGGATACAAATAATGAGATTAGTTTTGAAATCATATTTGGTTGCTTATATACCTTAATCATGTTATACATTCTTGTGTTGTTCAAAGGAGTTTTTTTAGGAAGTCCAAAGGGAAATAAATGAAAATAATATCTTTCCTTCTTCCAATGCAAATAGCATGTGAGCAGAACTCCATACACTGGACCTTGGGATCCAAGCCATAATCACATGTAAAGAATGCACATACTTTAATGTCATAGATCTTAACTGAAAATCAGGCAGTGTTTTTACTTTTATTTCAAGTAAAGTTGAGTTGAAGTTAAAATTACTGTACAGTCAATTCATGTATTAGCTTTTTTAAAAAACAAAAAATACAATCAAGAAACTTTTATGGAGAATTCTTTTGCTCTCTTTAAGAGACTCAAAGTATCTCAATGCCAGTAATTCAACATGTCCTTTTCTGTTACCATTTTCCTCATGACTCTTCAGTGCCTGCAGTAGGGTGGCAGTGCCACCCTTAATTTCACAGTTAATCAGCAAAATAAGCATAGTTACACATGCATACACTTTTTTCCCAACATAAGGCTGCTCAAAATACACCTTCTAAAGAAAAAGACCCAATGCTTCTGGAAGCATCTTTGAACAAAGGTTACTCTCCTCCAGTAATTGCAAGTTATCTCATCAAGATTACTCTTAATTACTTAAAGCAATTTCACAGGCATCTTTTGTGGTTTGGAACACTATTCAAAACATTACTCTCAAAGCAAAGGAGTGAATTATAAGAGAAAGTTTCCTTGCATTAGGGACAAATAATGTTGGAAGCCTGAGCAACATATCAAGATCTTTTCTTGCAGCCTCCAAAAACCCTAAACTGATTCCATCTGCCAATATCCTCTTCAAGGCAATTATTCTTGGAGGAAAGGTTGCTGAAGTCTTAACTGGACTCAGAATACAATCAATGGGCAATATTCTGCCTACTACTACTCTTGAATTTTGCCATACTAAATCTCTTCTTTTACTCAAAGATATCATCCATTCATTGTTGTCTAGATCTAGAAGCTGACACTAGGATATAAGGAAGATAGTTTGTACCAGGATCAAGGACTGATATTTTTTAACTTCCTAACCTCAGTGTCTTTTAAATCAGGTTTATTTATTGTTGCAACAACTACTTTAGCATCCATCTTACACTACAGTATGGTTGTATGCAATTTTTAAAAATTTGTAATGCAGACCAAGAATATCATATAGCAAAAATGCTTTCACGCATTTGTAAATTAATAACATCAACAAATGTGGCATCATTCAAGATCCTAATTCAGAAGATTCATATAGAATGTGAAAAGGTGGCAAAGCCAGCAAAGTATACTATAATGCAGTGCAATCTTATATATATATTTACTCAGTGGCAAGTCTCAGTGAGGTCTATACCTGGTAGTATGACATAGAATTGCAGCTGTACTCAAAGGCAACACTTTGGGTCATTAGCTAAAATTCTCAAACTTTTATAGTTAAAATGTAAACTGTGTTTCCATGAATTACAAAAGCAGCCATAGTTCATCCATTGCCATGACTTTTGGAGAACCAACCCGGGAATGTTCTGACACGTGATGTTGCCTGAACCCCTAGTTCCACAAAGACAAAATGTAGCTCGGATACCGCAGAACACAGAAATCCTTATGAAAATATTTGAGGTGAAATCACAAGTTCTTAAGTTGTGGTCTGCAGCCTAAGCCCATAAGCTCTTTTGGTGAAAGGCAACAGATAATCAAGAATAGCTATAACCAAGAATAAATCCTTGATTTATTCTTTCTGAGGATGGAGATAGAGTCTGTTTATCAAACCAGGTTACAAGTCTCTGACCAACTATAACACCATTATTTTTTCTCTAAATGTTTGCCAGTTACATGAGGTTTTCACAGGCGCATTGCCTGTGTCATGATTGATTACAGTATTATGTCATGTTGATTTTGATAATGAACCTGGTGCTAAAATGGTATTAAAATAGATACTGCTGTTTTGATTAGTAAACCTAAAATATTTACACAACTTGCCACTCCAGCAATTTTCAGTGCACAACATGCACCAGCAGACTGGTCAACATCTTACGAAAGTCAAATATTAAGAATCTGCATGTTCACTTTGGCTACAATTTTTAAAGCAGAGAAAGGAACAGGTAGTTAACTTCAATCACAAAACAGTCAGTTATATAAAATGTCAAGTTGCACACAGAGATAAAAGTCCCCTAAGACACAACAGAAAAAAATGCTTTGGAAATGATGGAAGTGACAAAATTACATCTCAAAACTCAGTTCTAAAGTGTTTGTTAAATAGATGCAGTTAGAGTTCTGAGAGCAAATATTAACAAAGCTAATCAGTCTTGGAATGGGCGGCTTCTCTGCAAACAAGGCCACAGATTTTGCAACCAACTCTTCAGATCAGTGTTTCTCAACCTCAGCAACTTTAAGAGGTGCAGATTTCAACTCCCAGAATTCTCCAGCCAGCATGTCTGGAAACTGAAGTCCACACCTCTTAAAGTTCCTGAGGTTGAGAAACACTGCTTTAGCTGAAGAGCAGCTGAGTGCTTCAGTCAGGATGTGACTTATTTCTGCATCAAACTCACTTCTGCAAATTTTGAACCAAATACTGAAATGATTTGCACTAAAAAGCAATGTAATGTACGTATTATTCTTTCTCCTGGGCAAGGACAATCAGCTTCCACCAGTTTCTTTGCCCTCAGAACATGCAATACATTTATTATTAAGACTTCAAACTGAATATACTCTATACCTCATTATACTATAAAACAAACCAAGGTACAAAAACATGATATGTTCCACAAGGAATTTCTCCTCCACCCAGCAGAATGAGGGAATCGACAATAGTACACTGTACAGACAGTTTGCATGGGAAATGAAGCTGGTGGAGTTTGGTCTTACATTATCAGAGTAAAATATTAACAGGGCCACCAAATATGTATTTTTAAAATATGAATTATGTTAGGGATTCATATGCCTTGTAAAAATATTTAAATACTTTTTCAGTTTAAGTCTAATTAACTTCAGGGAACCTGCACTGAACAATTTTTAGCTTATTATTGAAGATATGCAAGGAAATCCATTCATTTAGATGCTAGCAAAATATTCTCACCACCTGGTCATATAAATATTATATTATTCCCTATGCAAAAATTTGCTTTTATAGTCTTAGTAGCATCAGATTTCTTTGTGACCTAAGTGAAACTTGGGATGTAACATGTTAGTTTGGAAGCATACTTAACAGTAAGAGGATCTAGATGTTTTTGGATACAAATGTGGAAGAACAGAGAAATCCAATATTTTTGGACTGAGCTATTGCTTTCTCTTCCACATTATTTTGTAAAATTAAAAAAAGAACAATCTAAGAGTAATGGAATATCCATCTTTATGAGAAGGATCAAATTCCTGTATGTTTTCTCTGATCTCACTGTATAGAAATGTCCAACATGGCAGAGAGTATTAAATCTCACTGTAATAATATCCGTAGCTATAGTTATTATGAAATGAGGGTTTCAAAAATATCTGCCCAAAATCAGAGTACACATAAAAAATAGTTACATTGCACTCTGGAAAACTGTTTGGTCTACAATAAGTGGAAACCCATTGATAACATAATTCCGTCTCATATTTACTGATGTTATCGGTGTTACATACATCTCTGACACAATTCAGTTTATTAATCTACAGAATCTCTGCAAATATATGTGGTTCCTCTCTTCTTAATATATTTTTTCAATATAATTTTCTTTCCATGCTGTACTCTGGAATAGACATATGATACTCAGGATTGCTGAGAATGTACTTTAAAGACAACTGGGGTGGTGGTGGTGGAATGCATTGGTATGTATTTTTTAAGCCCAGCAACTGAAGAAGATCCACCGCCACCGCCTCCTCCTCAACAGTGTTTAATTGTTCTTTCTGGCAGTGAAGTTATTTCTTTCAAAAATATATGTAGGAATTGTAAGCAGGTGATTGACATCTCAGTCTCTAGAAATGCTGCAGATGGGCGCTCCGTGCTACTCCAAGAAAGGGCAGCACACCTTGCACCATCCAAATACTTTTACACTGTCAATTACTAAACAAACATTAATAAACTATTTGGACATGAAAAAATTAATAGGTTTGCACTTCAACAGAATATTTTCAATTATTTGTTATGGGGGAAAGATAACTCTAATTTCCTGAATAGTAACCTAGTTTAATTTGCATCCTTACTCTTGTATTATTAAACCACACCTAAATATGAATTTTGGCATAATTCAAAGTGACGGTACCCAATGATTTTGAAGAAAATGAAGTCACAGTGAACAGCATCTGCATGAGATTTTACCATTTCACTCTCTAGGCTTTTCAAATATTTGAGTCATGTGCCACATGTACTTTTATACATAAAACCAACGAACATCTTAAATAAACAGAAGACATCAGAATCTATATATTATGCAGCAAAGAGAATCAATTTGCCCAAAAGGCCATGATCAATAGGCTCATCCCACACTAGATACAACTCAGACAATCTATCAACAATCTTTCTTGATATTTCTTTAGACTGAAGCAGTCACCGGGGAAATTCAGAGCTATGGTACTGGGAGAAGGGAAAAATTAAAGAATTTCCTATTTTTTCCTTAAAGCAACGGCATCCCAAACTACTCTTTGCTCTCTATGAGCAAAATGTAGATATAAGCACCCAGCAGATGTTTTAAATGACATGGACAAAGCCTCTTAGAAGCCCTTGCAAGGACTAATTTGATCAAAAATAAAAATAAATGATAAGGACACTATAAATAATTCTATATCTTTTAGAGTGCGATCTCGATTTTCCCAGAAATTATTTTAAAATTTTACGTACTGGAAATTTCTGGATGGGAAATATTCAAAAGACAGAATGAAAAAACACTGATGGATTTGCCAGCATCTATTCTGCAAACAGGTAAACCCAGGGGTTAATTAGGATCATCCTATTTTGTGATGAGGGAGAGAGCTGAATTACATTTCTTTAACTATTTGGTATTGCGAGCCTCAATCTTTGAGAAAGAAGTGCTGAAATAGTAGTTTCATTGTGGGGTTTGTTCATGAAGCTCAGTGAGGGTGACAGTGAGATCTTTTATACTGGAATTTTCTTCACTGCTCATTATGTGGATGGCGTATTTAAGCTTCCATAGTCATTGGAAATTGCTTGCATCTCTTCCATTTCTCTGCTGCCTTCTTCATCCTGAAGAATGGGAGAGAAACATTTATGAATCAATGCTATGAAGTAATGTTATGAGCCATGTGATCCTAAGGATTAAACTTCTTTCTCCAGCTTCCTAGCTACACACCATGTAGCTTTCCCAGGTTTCCCAATCTGTGAAGTGTACCTCCATTGGAGAAGTACAGACAGAAACCAGGGAGGTGTGAAGAACTTTTTAGTTACATTGTTACAATAAATCCACTTTTCCCAAAGTTTCATTGTTCATTTGTGTTCATTTTGGTGTTTGGATTTTTAGGGGAGGTTTGTACATTAAGATTACACTAAAAGGAGGTGTGATGGCAAAAGGTTTAGGAACCCTTGATGTAGAAGAATCCTGAATGGCTGAATTCTTCTACTTCTTTCTTAATCTTTTACATTACGCAGGAAAGAAGAACTCTTTCTGCCTTTGACTAAACTTTAGATCTTGCATATTAATTCACTATAGCATTATCTTCAAAAAATCATCACATTAGATACTAGCAAGTACTGATTCCAATAACAAATTTTATTCGGTATCTACCAAATTCGGTTTTTCTGTTTTCGTGATAACAAATATTTCAGAAATACACAGCAACTTTCTTATTAGATGTTCAGTTTCTATCTTTTTTCAATACACGTGTAACAGCTTTCCCTGAACTCCCTTAGTAATGATAGCCTGGTAATCATTGTTATAACAAGCTTAATTTAACTGCACTAAATTAAACCAATAAAATAATGCTTTCCTTGGCCGAATCTAGCAAGTTTTCATGAATCATATCTTGGACTGATTTCATTGGAAATTTCCTGTTTGGAGATTAGAATGTTTAAGTTTTTCCAAAACTTGACAGCGTACAGAAAGAGATCATGGAAGTTCTTCTGAAAGTGGCAGAAATGCCAAGCCCATATCACTCTCAGTGAAGGAAAGCTATCTATGTGTACAAGTAGTCCTGGGGTTATGACAGCAATTGGGACTGGGGTTGGGGTGGGGGGTGCTGTGGGCAGGTGCCAGTAGCATGGGTGGGCTGGTGGGGGCTCTGGGTGGGTGCTGGGGAGTGCAGGTAGGTTGGTGGGGGCATAGGTGGGCAAGGGGGTGCTGCAGGTGGGTGCACACTTCAGAGTGTGGGCAGATGGGAGGGTGCCACAGAGTATGAGATCCCTGGGGCACACCCTCCCCCAGCCCCTCTGCAATCCTGCCATACTGGCCACCTGCGCACTCTTGCGCACCCTCCCCCAGCCCCGCTGCACTTTACCAAATCAAGTGCAATATAATAATAAAATAACATTACAACAGAAGAAATAGACAAGCTTCTTAAACAGCAAGCAAAATTTTTTGAATATTAAATGACTGGGTTAATAAAAAATGTCTTAATTTGTTGCCCAAAAGAAAGCAGGCATCCTAGCAAGATTTAAAAAAATATATATCAAAGATGCCCTCTTAACTGACTCGAGTGAGGAAAGAAAGGAGATGGAGACAGAGTTGCAATCATCTAACTCAGAGTTCTTCAACCTGGTGCTTTCCAGGTACGCTTGGCTACCGTTCCTATAATCTCCAGCCAACATGACAGGTTGGAAAAAGCTGATCCAGATGGGAAAGACAAGGATAAAGTACTCTGAGAAGAGCCAGATTTTGGAGATGTTGCAGAAGTGACAGGCTTGGTTATAAGAGAAGAAAGAGGAAAATGTCACAAGCA